GTTCAGCTGTTTACTCTGCTGTTTTAATCAGATGTTAGAGGATTACTGAATACAATTTCTTAATTTTGAAGCATTGCGGTTGGTACTATATTATAGTCTGTGATTGCGCAGTACAGCGACATTGCCTCAAGAAAGATAGAACAATCATACAAATGTATGTTTTTGTATTTATAATTATACTAGTACGTTAATCTGGAAAATGTATTTTAATCACCCTTGAGGACTTTGTTCTTGATGGTGCTGTTTCGAACTATAATCTTTGTTAGACAGGATAGTCAAAAGTAAACACTTTAGCCCTTTGTAATAAATCGGAATAATTATTTTAAGGCGAGAAAATGGGAAGCTGAAAATAAAAGATTAGTTGGGTGAGGCTGACAGTGGGACATAGGCATTTTATTGTTGCCATGCAATAAACTCCACCATTGGCATTAGAGGGGGATGAGGGTTAGGGTTCCTGTTTTGTTAAATGATTCTGTTAGTCTGCCACTAGGGGATTGAGATGTTTTATAACTCCTGCGACAGAGGCTCGGTGGTGTGTTCTGTTGTGCATCCTTGTGACCTGCAGCACAGATTCATGGATGGCATCAGTTGCTCATGTCATGACAAATTACCCCCTCTCCCCTCTCACTGCGGTGCTTTCCTCGGTCATGACTGACCTGACTCCACACTTCTCTGTGACTGGCAGACATATGCCCGTCACCCTCCCCCCCCCCCCACCATCCCACCTTCTTGTTGACTCCATGCTTCCATAATCTCAGTCACGGTCTCTACCCCTGTCTTTGCTCCTGCTCCCATGTCTGGCCTCCCCCTGTCCCAAATGCTGCCCCAGGACCAAAAGAAGAACTACAAGGCAGTGCAGTCCTGTGAGGAGGGGGGATCTGGGGGGGGCCTATCTTGAGCCGCTATTGGCCCTGGCCCAGAACGGAGCCAGCATGCACACCGTACTGGGGCCTGCGTGCATCTTTCTACGCAAGGGCTTCGCTGAGAGCCGGCAGGCTGTACGTAAGTCCAGACAATATCATGTGCATGCATGGCAAGAGATAAGAACACATGACAGTAATAACAAAAACATGTGATGAAAGTGTGTCGTAATCACCTCTCACTGTAACATCAACACTAACAGCATGTACGGAAAACGTGGTTGAAATGACAGGCTATTATTTTAGAAGATGAAATATGATTTAGTCCTTTTGAGATCAAGAAGGCAAGGGTGTGTGTCTGTGTGTATAGTTATGCATGAGGAAGCATTACTCAAACAATGGTGGAGATTTGTAGCAAGATGGAGAATTGTTAAATCTGGGCTATGGTAATGGCGGATATGTTCCTAACATGATTATCTAACCAATCTAATTTGTTTGGACAAAGTCTTGTTCTTTTAAGAAAACAGTGAGTCCTCAGGGTAGACGACCGCTGTTTTAATGACTCTTCTGAAGACAAACTCTCAGATAACGGATGCAGGGGTTGAGATTGAGTCATGTTGATTTAATGGATGGGGAAATGGAGCATCTGTTTTGAGCTTTGCGTCCCTCCAATGTCTCTGCATTTCATCATTTTTCTGATATTTTTACTTTCCCAAAACCCTAATGTGTTATTTTTCCACAGGGTGTAACAGAGTGCCAGGAGTGCTTGTTTTCTGCAGCAGGTGATCTCACTGAAAAGCTCTTCCCCTCTGACTGGAAGGAAACATGTAGACTCTTGGCACTCTGCGGCACATGCCTGCTGTTATTGTATTGTTTGTGGAATGCTACGTTTTGGCATGATTTGAAAGATACCAGCAGTGTTTGAATCCTGACCTTTCACTGATCTTTCACAGGACCGAGAGTTGAGGCCCGAAGAAATGGATGGTAAATTCAGTAAAAAATAAAGAATGAGTAGATATAACTCTAATTTTTACAATATTCTTAAATAATCTTCACATATTCTCTCTTGATGTCTCTCGCTCTCAGAGTTGCGTGAGGGTTTTAAGGAGTTTGACAAAGACAAAGATGGGTTTATCGGCTGTAAAGACTTGGGGAACTGCATGAGAACTATGGGATACATGCCAACAGAGATGGAGCTTATTGAACTGAGCCAGCAGATCAACATGAATTGTGAGTAAAATTGTGCCTTTGTATATGTGCATTAATGTGCCTGTTTATACATTTTTTCATCTGAAAAATATCTAGAATCAGTTGTGCATGCTATGACTAATTATCAGGTAAAGTACAAATAAATAATAGGCTACATCTCGTGTCTCTTAGATTACCGTAAAGGTTAACCCATTTTATTATTTTAACCTGTCCAACAGTGGGGGGACATGTTGACTTTGAGGACTTCGTTGAACTCATGGGGCCCAAACTTCTGGCTGAAACCGCAGACATGATTGGGGTGAAGGAGCTGAGAGATGCATTCAAGGAGGTGAGGAAAGACACGTACAGAAAAGCAAACTGAGTGATAACAACAATACGTATATAGAGCTTATCAAACATCATGTCATATAGCAATAATCTAAGGATGTTCTACCGGGGGTTTGTTTAATTCAGATATGATGATAGTGGTTGAAAAAAGCTAAGGATTAGATGTAAGAAAAGGGGGAATAGCATAATGCATTTAATTGTATACATTTCAAAAATAATTAAAGAGCCTTTGCATTCGAAAAAAACATTTAATATAAGCCTAGAAATATGCAGTAATAAACACACAGACAATAAAATGGAAAACAAAAAACATAGATTTTCACAATATAGTATTTTATGATTTTAATGTAATAACTGTGTCTCGTTTTTTTTTTCTCTCTCAGTTCGACACTAATGGTGACGGCCAGATCAGCACAGCAGAACTCAGAGAAGCAATGAAAAAACTGTTGGGCCAACAGGTAGAGAGTGTCTATCCTCTCTGTTTATCAATCATGGTGTCCGTCTCCGTTTATTCACACCTTCCCCTCAACCTGACTCTTTCAGGTCGGACACAGAGACCTGGAGGACATCCTACGAGACATCGACCTCAACGGAGATGGGCATGTGGACTTTGAAGGTAAAGAATCCTATGCAGTGCATCACACCATGCCTTGCTATTTATACACACTATACGAATTTCACAGCGTGCAGAGCCTGGAAATCAAACATGCTTACATCATAACTTTGTCTCTCGCTTTAAATCACACTCAGAGACACTTCAAAGTAAAATCCTAGCATGTGTTCTGATATCTGGACACCACGCTGATCGTGAGGTGAGGGGATGAAGGCACTACAGTAGGTCTGTCTGTCAGATTATCTCCACACCAAGGGATTATGTCACCTCACAGATTACCCACAGAGGAAAAGATGGCAACACATCAGGGATGAAAGTATTTGAAACCACTGCTACTCTCAGTTGTAAAACGATACTTACATCGACATCATTTAATATGTTTTCCTGAATTCTATACAACCCATCAGAAATAATGTCCAAGCTAAATTTGATTGTATTCCTTATGTATGCATATAGGTGGTGTAGATTTACTGTAAACGTATTTGATGATTGGTGTGAGGTTCTAAGCAGCAGAACCATTTTTCCTTAGCTGTGACAGTGAGTCCACTGCTCTCCACAAAAAGAGACTGATCTTTGAAAGTCCTAGATACATGCACAGTAGATCATGGTCAAAATGTTCCTTATGAATGGGATTTATGGGATTGGATGCATGGCAGGAAGTAACCAAGTCATATAAATGGTGAGAAGTTCTGTTTGGATCTATGATTAGAGTGTTTGTTACCAATCAATAATTTTAGAAAATAAAATGGTTATTGTGTCTGTTTTTACTGAAAACAATACAATGTTTTGATACTGTGAGTTGAGATCAACTAAAGTTAAAGTGATAATGGAGATTTGGCATTAAAATGACAGCCTCTTTACATTAACAATAATTGTATCATATGTATAAAAGAGTAGTTGTGCAGCATCAAATATTATATTGAGGTGAATTAACAAACGCTTGGTAAAAAAAAAAAATCAGCTCTTTCCTTTAATTCCCAGAGTTTGTGCGGATGATGTCTCGATGAGGTCCTGACAGAGAATCGACATGAACTCTGGTGTGGGAGCACGAGGAAAGAGACCAGCACAGAGCACCAACGGATCTTGAACTACTGAGCTTTCAATGGAAACGAAAACATATCAACCCCGCCCTGAAACTGCCATGCTGAAGCACACAGGCTGTTTACCACAGCCAGAAGCAACACTGTTAATTTCTTAGAAAATAATCAAAACCAACAGCTGCATTTGTAACTTTTACAAAGTTTATTTAAAAAACACATTTTCCTTAAAAATACCAACATCTTTAATGCTGACTCAATGGGTACAACTGGATGTTTGGACGGGATGCTCAAACACCGTTTGTTGTAAAAATCTGTCACTCAGACATTATTGTTAAATAAGAGATTAACTGCTCCTCCCCCACATCCCCATGTCGGTCCTCCCCAGTTCCTGGTGCCTCAAGCTCCTCCCCCACATCCCCATGTCGGTCCTCCCCAGTTCCTGGTGCCTCAAGCTCCTCCCCCACATCCCCATGTCGGTCCTCCCCAGTTCCTGGTGCCTCAAGCGTCCACCCTACATCCCCTTGTGGGTCCTCCCCAGTTACAGGTGCCCCAAGAGTATCCCCCACGTCCCCTTGTGGGTCTCCCCCAGTACCAGGTGCCTGACGCTCCAGTCGAGCGAGGGGCTGACTGGACTGGAGGGGCACTTGGAGCATCAGTCCAGCGGGGGTCCGACTAGACATGGGGGGCACTTGGAGCATCAGTTGACATGCACTGTGTGTCCATATCTGGGTTTGCGGTAGAACATTATCTTCACAATCTGTGTCATATTCACCACTACAGCTTGAGGCCTGTACGACGAAGCCGGTTCAACATAACCTGGATATGTTTGAGTTAGCCGGTTGGCCTAATCCAAAACATAAGCACTCTCGCTAAGCGGTCCTACGACGCAGGTTATCAAGTGGATCGCTCAAGCCAGCCGTGTCCTATCTAGTTAGGTGCACGTTCACATGAAAGGGGTGGTATTTGGAGCATTCGACCAATCACAAACATGGACAAGCGTACTGACAACGCAGCGCGTCATACCTCCTGAATGAAAAGTCAACTATAATATTAGACAAATATGAAGAAGTTAAACTTTAAACATCCATAACTTAAACACTTTATCCAGGATAAAAGCCACATAGTTGCACCTGCAAGGTGAATACAGCTGGTAAAAGAAAAAGTGTTTGAATGCGTACATTAACAGGTTTATGATATCACTGCCCCGTCTAACCCCTAGTTTCCACTGGGTCCGTCTGCGGTGCGTTACGGGCGCGTTGCGGCTGCGCCGCGCCGTCCGCAAGGATCGCGGCCACTCTAGTCAATGGGTGCTATTCCACCAGACGCGCCGTGTTACGGCTCAGAAGCGTCCCAGAAGCGTCTCGCCGCTGGGCTCCGCTCAAAATAGGATTGAAGTCTATTTTTCGACGCGACGCAGCCGTAAGGTAATGTCGGGCAGGAAGTGGAACGGTGACAGCATCCGGCCCACCCCCCAAAACCGGTTCCTTCTCCTCCCCCCATCCCTCCTCTGTAGTCTTTCCAGTAGGAGAATAAAGGCCAGCATTCTCCTTCGGTTTACAGGCACTGTGTGTAAATTATATAGAATAATTATGATGATGAATGCATTTTTTTTTTACCACTAAAATACAGCAACCCATCTTTGATTCATGTTGTTTTTAACTGGACTATTACAATTATTATTAATTATGTCAACAAAATAGGAAATAACAACAATAAACACGATTTAAACAGACACAAAAATAAACCATTTAACTACGTAGCCTACTTACTTTCTTGTAGAAGTACAAATGTCCAGGAAATATGCCCAAATCAACAAGAACTGCGAGCCGGCAGGCACGACGCTCCGCTTCCGTAATGCTTCTGAAACGCGCCCGGTAGGGTATGACGCCGGAGGAGGCCGGACCAAAACCGCGGCGCAGCCGTAACACGTCGCAGACGGACCCAGTGGAAACTAGGGGTTAGACACGATCTGACTTTAATTACATTTGACTTGAGAGTGTTCCGTCAACTTAATATGTTGCTTAAAATAATACTTCTGCATACAGTATGTGACACTGTGAGTGTTGCACGGCCAGATACGGCTCAGCTGACTCAGATAAGGAAATATATGATACATTATGATGTGATATGAATGATAATGGGACACATCTACGTCTGCACTCACACTGGGGCGGACTGTACGTAATGTTACTTTGATCCGGTTACTTATGTTGTGGCAGATATTTAAGTAAGCTTTCTTAACGCTAATGTTATAATAGTCAGATTGCTCTGAAGATGGGAGGTGATATTCTATATGTTCACGTTCACACAGTCGGTAATTTTTGCCGGCCGTCTTTCCTGCAACGGCAGTTTAAACTGTATTTCCTTTCTCCTGTAATATGACTTGATCGCTTTAAACTCCGCACACTGAGCTCTGATTGGTCAGCAGGCAGTGCTTTCACTGAGTTGATCTCTTAGCCTGCAACCTAACCTGCTCCGTACCAGGTTAACCGCTCAGCTTAAGTTACCATGGAGATCTTGCCCGCTAAAAAGAGAACCAGCGTCGTAGGACCGGAAACCGAGTTTTCCCTTAAATTAGCCCGCTAAGCAAAAATCCAGCTTCGTCGTACAGGCCTCAGGAAGAGCTACAATACTCTGCAACAAACAAATCAAATATTGCTTTCGCCAGATAAGCCTAAACAAGCTATCAATAAACCTAATCACCAATGAACGTAAACACAACTTACTCAAATAATGCATCGATATTCAGCTTGTGAAGAGCGCACATGGGGATCAGCTTGATGCTACTGGAGAGACTGAGCAGGGCTGAATACAGGCCTTAAATGGGATCAGGTGTGGCCTGGTAGGTGGAGGCTAAGCCCCGCCTCCCACCAGACCAAAAAAGGCAGGAGAATTTACAACACTGTTAATTACATTTCATGTCACTTGTTAGACGCTTTTATCCAAAGCGACTTACATACTCAATACTGTGGGCAATCCCCACAGGAGCAATTTGGAGTGAAGTGTCTCGCAGGGACACAACGACATGCTGACTGCAGTGGGGTTTGAACCTGTGACCCCCTGATCCGAACACCAACAGACAACCCACTGTACCACACGCCTCCCTGGTAATATATGTAGCATTTAAAAAAACACATTTTTAACTACAGCTGTAAGCCAGCAAACATCTGAACTAACACAGCACATTTGTTGCTAAAGCAGAGGACATCTAAAGCACAAACATAAAATGGCAATATGAAAATATTTGATGTGATTCTATCAAAGATGTGTGTTTGTGTTTGTGTTTTGTGCATAATGTTGTCTCTTTCCAACCTACTGTCGGTTTAATGTCCCCTAAGACTATGGTCATACATACCCTGGTTAAGGAAAGCCAATATTTGTTTTGTAATTATGTACAATGTAGCACTTATGCAGTTCTGCTGATTTTAATAACATTATGCCTATCTTACTGTGATAAATGTCATGTTCAGTGTGCATCAACTGCAAAAAAATCTCGAAGGGAATTCTCTTGAGTTACAGTGAGTTTCTAATCTTGACTACTGCGATATGCCTTTTTTATTACATGTATTATTTATTCAGAATTTTGCTTGCAGGAATTCATAAAGTTTGACAGATACCACAGAGCGTTAAAACTAAACTGTAAATGAAAGAGAAATTCTGTTTATGCTTTAATTTTTTCAGAGAGCTTTATGAACTTTGCCTGTTTTATTGGGGTTTCGTGAGTCTAAACAATCCTGAATTGATTTAACTTTAATACCTCAAGATTAATTGAACAATCGACCTCATCCACTAAACTGTCCCTATCATAAGCTCTAATATCTTTCTTTTTTTTACCCTTCTGCCATGATTACGTATACTTGTGAAGAAGCCACATTTGCTTCTTTATGGAAAAAGCCAAAGAAAGTTTACAAGAAAAACATGAGTCTTATTCAGTGTATTAAGTGTGTACATTGTGTTTTAGAAGTACAATCCAAGATTATATGTTTTTAAATGGCTACTTGAAATGCCCTTCCAAGTTGATGGGGCAGCTAAATTCTAGATTGACTGTTCATAAATGGACATGGGGGGGCTTATGCATGTTATAATGTTGAGACATTCTTCCAAAGGGAAATCTTACTTTGTGTTTTACTTGTCTTAAGTGTGTGAAACTATGCATGCAAGAAACAACTGACATTTGTAGCAGATTAAATAAAGATTTTTATTAGAACTTTTCTGTCTTAAATACAAATTATTGTGAGGACATGTATCTGTCCAGACCATAGACTGGTCCAGACCGACACATTATATTTTGTGTCTATCTTTCTGGTGAACATTTCTAAGGTAAGGTTTGAACCACAGACAATTCTCAGTGTTGATTGTATGACAGGTATCCATTCATTTCTATGGACAATCAATATTGGACAAGTTAAATGAATAAAGTGTTGGACCATGTGGGTTTAATTCCAACACAGTATGCATATGGTTTGAAATCAGCAACATTAGAAACATTCCTTTTAAGAGATTGGATGTTGCAAAAGCCAAAATGAAAAAGCTTAATCAAACTTTCATGGTTTATCAAAATTAATAATTTCTAGAAAAGATGCAAAACATCTCTGACATTTACAAAAATGTATTAAATAGCAATCTGACAAGTGTTCTTAATGATCTAAACACACAGTCCTTTCTATAATGACTCATTGTGTTAAGTAACAGGACACAGTAGGCTACCATCTTCACCCTCTCATTAAATCCAAATACATTTTCAAAGGATAAAACTATAACTGCTTGCAGGTTGTTTAAGGTTATTTTTCTTCATAGATTAGTCTCTTTAGGTAAAGAGATTATATGATAAATTAGGTTATATGATAAGTAGCTCTTATCATAAATGCCAAGCGCATTATCATTTTTTAAACATGATTAATAATGGATACTAGTCTATGTGATGATAATAATGTATTGCTTTGGATAAAAGCGTCACTAAAATGTAATGTATTATTATAATGTGTTTTCTTCTTGGTATTTCTGTCCAGTGTGAGCGCATTACATTGACAATAAGCAGGTTATATTCGTTTCATGGAAGCTCTGTAATCAGATTACTGTGCACTTCCTGCCCACAGTGACGGCGGCTCTCATTGGTCACCTTTTGTCATGTTGCTATGGTAAACCTGTAAATAAAGCCAGCAGCTGCACACAGATACATGTAACGATTTTACAGCCGGGGCTGTCCTGATGGAGAAACACCTGCTGGACCTGCTGACCGACTGTCACCCCACTCCTCCGCCGCCACAACACTACCGTTAGAACCGGGGGGCGGTAAAAGCCGTTACCAGGTAGCCGTTGGTCACAGCTTTATTAACCTAGCAGCTACCTTCTTATATGCTAGCATGTTGCGAAACTAACTAATGGAAACTTGCTGATAAATATTGCATACTGCGACAGAGTAACTTAACATTAGCTAGTAGGCTACACTAGTGGTGAAACCATATGCATAGAAAACAGTAGCTGTTCATTCTTATTATGTTGGTAATAAATACGGTAATGCGGGTGATAATGTGTGACATTATTGTAGCTAGATAGCCCTGCTTGTTGTACCATAACGTTAATGATATATAGTTTAACTGTATCAAAGTAGGTTATTTATTTAGAGTAACTAGCTTTTATTATTCAACCTTTCAGTGTTAATTGCATCCCTCTGCTCTGAGGTTTAACTGGTAATGTACCTTCAAATGTATTCTTACATGTATTTGTTATCATTCAATTCATAGCTACAGTAGTGACAATATTAATTTAGTGTTCTTTAAACCTTTTAATCTATTTTTTTAATTCAAAAATAACCATACACTCTCCGACAAAGGACCTCAAATAAATAAGATAAACGCAAAGAAAAGGAGGGCGAAAACTGTAGACCCTGTATTTTGTCTAGCATCTAGTAATATATGAGGGTGTCACATGTGTCTAATACATAGGTCTAA